AAATAATAATAATAATAATAATAATAATAATAATAATAAATAAATGAGCAGAGAGTGTAGCTCAGGGGTAGGGTTCTTGCCTAGTGTACTCAAGGGCCTGAGTTGCATTAGGTAGCTGTAGACGCCAGTGGATTAGAGCATCACCCTCCATCCTGGTTCACAGAGAGAGCATTAAGTTCTGCCGGGACTGCTTTCCAGTGTGAGCCTGCACAGGAATGGGGATTTTTCCCTTTGAAGAAAAAAAGAGAGAACCTGCTGCCTGCTCAAGGGCTCAATTTCCCACATGCCACCGGAAGCCTCTATACCATTCTTCCAGGTGGCGCCCAGCTGACCCGGAAGTGCTCCATGTGTCGGGCCTGCAGAGGGCCAGGCAGCCTACAGGTACCTGCACGCCGTCTTTGATAGAACGGAAGTTCCCACCTGGCCCACCCACCAGACTCCCAAAGGCCTCATTCCCAGTTAACTCGATTAACTCAAAACTCACGTGGTATGGGAAAGCCTGACAGAAGTTGGCAGGTGTGTCATTGCTCCAGATCCAGCAGCAGTTGTGAGGAAGCTGTGACATCCACACAGTGTATGATTCTCTTGACAGGACAAATTCAAAATCCTCTACTTCTTTACTTTTCAAAAAATATAGTTTTTCTCCTGACACCTGATTTCAAATGAAGGTACAGTGAGTCTTCTTCGTACTTTATATGGAACTCTCTAAATTCACGAAACTCAAATTGGCAACTGTATCTCAGACTCATCCTAGTATCAGGCCCATTTTACAGATGAGGAGAAGCAGAACTGAGTTAGGTCCTATCCCAGTGGTGACACAGGTCCACGGGACATCAATGCCTGGGACGTCCTGCTATAACCACTGCCTCCTTAGAGGAAAATGAGATGGTGAGGATGTCTAATAACCCGATGCTAAGTCTGAGATGCTGCTCCATGCAGTGGAAGAACACCCAGATAATTTGGGGAACCGTCGCATGAGGTCCAGGACACACAGAAGGTGCTGTCATTTCTGACCCCTACGTGGCTCAAAAGGAGTTGTCTCCGTGACATGTGGCTTTCCAATCTAGAAGGAAGCTTGAAATAAATTGTACTTACTTGATTTGGATTTTTAACTCTTGAAAAATATATCACTCTCTGCCCCAAATCAGCTAATACTCTGAACAAGGTACACCGCTTTTCCCTCTAATCATGGTGATGAAAGCATGTTTTATAACAAGGTGTGCTATTGCTTTCTAACTATTCACCCTACATGTGTATATAAACATTAAATGAGTTGGAGAGGCATTAAAGTCAATTTTAATGCTTTTAAAACCAAAGGTGACATCAATTTAGACTGGCTTTCCAACAAATTCTGATTTTTTTTTCACTTGAGGAAAAATATATAATTGCTAAATTTATGTAATTTAGCAAAGTATTTTTAGCCTCAGGATAATAAATCTCTCTTAAATTGATGGTCTTTGTACTTGTTTCAAAGAGTTAATAATATAAGGCAAGTGAAAAATAAGAGCAGTTATTAAATACTTTATTGATAAGTGAAGACCAAGAGTTATACCAGCAGAGAAACTGTGAAGCCCAAGAATAATGATAAAGTTAAAATATAAACAAATATATAATGCTACTTTGCAGGATTAAGTGCACTGTCTAAGAGAAAAAATTTAAGGAAATAATTTAAATAAATGGTATAATAAGATCCTTTTAAGAGACAGCTGTTAGGGTCCATATTTAGCTTCATGTTCTTTTACCCATTCTATGAATAACAACCAGCTTTTGTTATTTCCTTACATGAAACCATTTTTAAAATAAATTTCAAGTGTTGTAAATCACTCAGAATGTGCATACCCCTAATTCATGCAGTTTATTGCCACTAAGGAAATTGTCATTCTTTCATACTTTGTATTTCTCTCTTTTTTCCCAGAGCACATCTTGAATGCAGGAGTTCAGAGAGTTAGAGTCTTTTTTATTTTGTTTTGTTTTTTAATTTCATGATTGGGAATCCACTTTTTTAAAGCCAAAATTTTTAACATTTTTAAAGGGGGAGAAAATTAGCATCCTTGGTGAATATTCTTTACAAAACCTATAAAAAAGAAAGTTAAAGGACCCATAGACATCTACATATTTCAAATGCCTAGTTGTGTGAATTTATGAAGCCTTCAAGACCCTTCACTTTGCAAAAAGCAATTTTGCAGGGCATTAGTCCACGATACAGACTAGCTTCCTTGGCACAGAGGTAAAAAAGAATATGTGCCAAACAGCCAGGGTCTTGGAGTATAAAGATTGACACCAACCATATTGTGACGTGTTCCCCTGATGCAGGACAACACGTCACATACACACACACTGCCATCCCAGCACACTACGACATGCGCGCTCTGCTATGCACATCATGAATGTATCCAAGGAATAGTTCCCAAGCACAGCCACAAACACAACCCTTCTGTCAAGTCAGGGATGCAAAATCTGCACTGTTGCTGAGAGCTCAGCCTTAAGGTGTAAGCTAGGATCCTGTGGTCCAAAAAATGGGCTTTCCTCCTCCTCGAGGGCTCGGCCAGCCCATGGACACCTCCGCAAGGCCTGGGAAAAGTTGTCAGCATCCTAGGGAAGGCAGTTCGCAATTCCTAGCTTTTAATATCACTTCATGAGAAAATTCACTATGCTTAATGTCACTTCCTGAAAAGAATGGATCTGGTTGGTTCAACATATATTCTGATGCCAGTTTAGGGTGAGGAGTTAAAAGAATTTTTTGTTTTTTACCTTGGCTAACATAGATTTTTTTAAATGATGAAAATAACAATTGTACAAAATCTGGGGGGAAAAATATCAGACTGAGTTCACAAGAGATTACAGTAAATTTATTTTTTAATGAGATGAAATTTCTACCCTAAATAAGCAAAGGATTAAGACAAAGGTGCCAATGAAATCTGACAAAAGCAATGCAGAAGCAAGCTTTTGAAATGTTGCCCCATAAAAAGAGCCCATAAAATTAATCTACCTGGATGCTTTCCACGTTAATTCAGCTCAGAAATAACTCTTAAGTGGTTAGGACATTCGTTATAAAATGCATGGTCTCTGCTTATCAGTAGACACAGCCTGAGGTGCTTGGAACTTAGATCTCCCAGCCCTGAGTGCAGAAGACACCAGCTAGAACAGGACAAAGTGTGCTTTTCAGGCACACCTGCGATCTGTGCTCATTAGAAAGAAGAGAAGCACCGAGGACACAAAGAAAGGAGGTGCTGGACACCCCCAAATCACCAGGATTCATGTGCCACTTCCACTGTCCTCATCAAAAATAAATGACATCAGTTTTGGCTTTCTGGATCACCTACTTAGAACTCAGACTGCTCAAGTCTGTAGAGCGTGATTCCCCCAGCTTGATGCCAAGTCTTCTTAGCTCCTTTTGCAGAGGAATGGAGGCTCAGAGAGGTCCCTGTCTTTCATGATCAGGGGACAATGATTCCCAGTCCATTGATGAGGCTGTCACATGCTCCAGGGGTGAAGTCCCCCTTGCAGCCCCTTGTAGCTTCCTCTTGCAGTGTCCTCCTGCAGACCAAGGAGAAAGAGAGGAGGAGTACCCTGGGCTTTCATGTCACACAAATCCAGCTTTCTACCCTGGCTCTCCAAATGGCGAGGTACATATATTTGACCAATTATTTACCTCTCAGTGCCTCAGTTTTCTCTTCTGTAAATTGGATCATCAGGTTCCTCAATAATTTAAACACAAAATGACCACATGACCCAGAAGCCCACTCCCCAGATATCCCTGAAAGATGTGAAAACATGGATACAATGGATAACTGTGTGTGAAGTTTCCTGTTTCACCATTCGCAGTAGCCTAAGGTGGGAATGAACCATATGCCCATCAACAGACGAAGAGAACAGAAAGATGAGATCTATCTTACACTGAAACGCCATTCGGCCATGAAGACAAATGGCGTGGGCCAGGACAGGGCATGGATGAAGTGGAGAATATTACGCTAGGTAAAATGAGCCAGATGCAAAAGGACAAAGATGGTGCGATTCTTCTTCCTATATGAAGAATCCAGAATGCACAAACTTACAAAGTGGACCACTGGTCAGCAAAGCTGGGAAAAGGGGTGGAGGGAGTTAATACTTCATGAGCTATAGACTTTCTGTTTGAGGTGCTGAAAACTTTTGGAAATGGATGATGGCAGTGGTTGTACAACCTTGTGAACGCACTTAGTGACACTGATTACGCACTTCAAAATGGCGGGGATGGAACACTCTGTCTATTTTATCCCAAGAACAAATGTGCAAAGAACGACAAAGAGGAGACAGTCAGACATGATCATATGATTGTCCTTCCCCGATCCCTGGGACTTAGGATCAGAGATCAGGCACATCTCTGGGAGCCCATCGGGCCTCTTGGGCTTGTAGAATTCTGAGATCTTTGGGGAGAAGCTTCAAGCTCACCCTGTTTTTGGCATCTGTGTTCTGCCTACCCAAAAAGTTTTATTTTGTCAAGGGGAAAGGAAGTCCTGAGACATCAGCTTCAGACAAAGGCAATTAGCAAGTTGTATATGGAGGAACTTACTTTTTTTCCCAATCATAAGCTTTAAAATTCACTGCATCTGAAAGAAACTGAATTTAAAATGTAATTATTGTGTAGTAATTAACTTTGTCCAAATGAGGCCCTTTTAGAACTCAGTTTCTTTAGAGACATGTTATTGAGCCTAGTGTGTTTTGTTTTGTTTTTCAATAAAGTTTTTTATGGTCAAATTGGTGAGCTGAAAAAAAGTCTCATTTGATACATTTGGGCTGTTTTCCAAGAACTCTGTCACAGTATTCAGAGTTTCAGCTTTCTACTTGTAGGGGGGATGTCTCATTGCTGTAAATCAAATGTGTCTGTTATCACGTGAAAGAGTCTCACAGAAATGTGCCTCTAGCCAGCCAGCCCCAGACAATGGGGACAACAATGAGAGGTTGTCCTTGCCCTCTCTCCAAACTTCACATAATTTTGTCTTGAAATTGGGGAGTAGTCAGCCTACAAGTCCCCAGCTGAAAGGAAGCGTCCTTCCAGCAATGGGAAAATGTAGTTAAAAGACAGCTGACTTTGTCCCATCTGCAGAATGTCAGCTGAGATGTCTTACTTTTCTTCTCTGTACTTTCTTCACCTGCTTAGTCACCAGGGTGGCAGGACATCCTCTAAGAGCAAGTGTCCCCTGTCCCCAGCACACTACACCACGGCTGGACAGACAGGTGGTGAAGGTCAAAGCCAAGACCAAGTGAAAGGAGGATATTCCAAGCTAAAGCAGGCTTTTATCTCCTCTCTTTTTCTCTCTGGGCAAATAGTGGAGGTACAGCTTCTTTTAAAAGGGTCTCTCCAATACTCCTAAATCTTCAAAAACCCCATGCACCTCCTAAATTTAGAAGACCACTGAGAGAGGAAACTCTGATAGTGTTGAAGCCTTTGAACCAAGCTAAACTCCATCCTACTATCCCTGTTCTAAGCACAACATAAAGCGAGAAATGGAACCTTTCTCCTTGAGCCACAGAACCCCAGCTCCGCAAAGCCAAGATGTTACCTGATCCTGCAGAAAATCCCAGCCACTTCCACGCAGCTTGCCAAGAGGAAGAAAGAAGAGGAAGGAAGAGAAAGAAAGTGAGGAAGAGAGAGTATCCCGGCAGATATACATTGGCCCTGCCGATGACTCTCTGTTTAACTTGTAATCAAAACAACTCAAACCCAGTTACTGTTTGCATATCTGCCAAGTTTCTCAATTTCAGCAGTCGGCAGCAGGCCCTCCGTATGACAGGCTGTCTTTCAGATTCCAGCAGAATCTGCCAAAGCCCCAGCACAGAGGCAACTGGTAAATTAAATGCCAGCGAGCAAGGACATTCCTACACCTTTCGTTCCTGCACACAAAACAGCATCCTGTGCCTCTTCACGTGGTAGAAGCTGGCAGGATCCAGGGTGCCCAGCCTCTGCCAACGCCTGCTTCCTGAGGTCATTAGGCTGCATGCTTGCAGCAGCACTCAGTAGACAATAGAAATAAACCAAGTTTTCTCATTGAAAAGAAACCAGTGCAAAAGGTGGGGGCATCATTCTGCCGATAGATGAGAAGACTCCTCTCATATCAGACTCAGAAAAACTCACTTTCAAGTGTTCCACCATATCGTGCAATCTATAGATAATGTTAGGTATTCAGATTTGCTGCGAAGTGTAATTGAAAATAAAATAGGCATTAAATGCACACAGGCGCATCTTTAAATCTTGCATCCTAAAAGCTTCTTGTGAAACTAAAGATAAGGCTTCTCTTTTCCGAGTAAAGTGTAAGCTTTTAAAATCCAGTTGATCCTTCAGGGGAGGGGAAAGATGGGCAGGTTTAGCTACCTTCACAATTAAGGGTGCTGATTAGCATAGCAGATATTAATGAATAAGCATTGTTTTGACTGCAACTTTGACTATAATCTGGTGATTTAATGACTCACACTAAGTTTAGGGAGTGCGGGCTGCAATCTTAATTACGGGAACGTGGCTGCGCTCCGATATTAATAAGAAGCAGCATAAATATCAGAACTCGACAGAAGCACAGAATGAAGGCGGGAGACACACTCAAGTTGGTAGGCCCAAAGGACACTATAGAGACAAGACTGATCTCTTGACTTCACCACTTTACCAAAATCTGCTTCTAGGAAACAGTACCTTAAAAAAATTTTTCTTCCCTGTGAGAGGTAGGGACAGGATGCTGTACTCAAATGACAAAGTGTGAAAATTTAGCTTAATGTTTTCAAGGGATGAGAAACAAAACACCTGTATGGTGGTAGATGGCATCTGAGCACAGCGGTCTGGCTTGCTGCTCCACCTGGAGCGACAGGCAAGTGAACTACCAGGGACAGGGCCCAAAGCCCCCCAGCACCTGCCTGGGTGTGTATCTGGGTCCACGCACAGCTGTGGGGTCCCTGCGAGTGTCCCGGTGTCCCCTGTACCTTGGCAAGTGCATGCAAGAAGGAGTCCATGCTGCACTCACCGACCCAGAGCGCCTCCTTCTTGGTGCCCTGGGCCTCAGGAGCCCGTTGTGCCTGGCTCTGCCTTCAGCCCTGAACTTGTCAGGTGCCACTCTGGAGCCAAGAAGGTGGCTTATTTTAAGGAAGGAGAGGATGGGCGTTGGGAGCAGCGATCACCATTGTCATCCTACCTTCCTAGCTAGGGGTTTCATTTGTGGGGTGCAGCTGGGGCGGGGGCATTAACTGCAACCAACCAATCAGCCGGGATTTTTTTCCCCTAAACTAGCAAGATTTTCAAGAGAATAACAGAATTATAAATGGCTCCAAGGTTTCCTAGTGAGGCCAATTACCTGTGGACATTTCTGGAGGCCAGCCACCAGGGAAAGCTGCTAGGAAATTCTGGTCGCCAGATTTTAATTAGCTAACAGGCAACTTCCTGTTAAATTTGTGTTTTCCAATTGGGGAAGCTCTGAATGAGTCTGATCACTTTCTGGGGAAATGGGGAAGTGTGTGTGTGGAAACAGGAGGCCTCGGCATCCAGCTTCTTCGGGTCTTGGTATTCGGTCAGCCTGGCCAGGATTTCCAGTACAAAAGCCCAGGGCCACGTTCCCGGGGGCCTGCACTGGGCCCCAGTTGCTGCCACAGCCCCAAGTTCACAGCCCCTCCTCACGGGCCCAGTTTGCTGCCAGCACCTTATTGGTATGCTAATGCCCAGGGCTGCCTCAATTTGTAATTCCTCCCTGGAAATGGTATTCAGATTTCTGCACAGCCATCCCATGCTAAGAGGAAGACGCTGGGAGCTTGCTTTCTTTTTCTCTCTCTCTCTCTCTCTCTCTTCCTTTCCCTCCTTCAGACAGGTAAAATAAACTTAACTCCAGTGACAGAAGATGCACATCCCCTCCCTGAAGCCTTCTTTGGTCTGAGTGGAAAAGCACCCAAAGCCAAGTTAAAACGCTGCTAACGCTGTGTGCAGAAGGAGGAAGAGTCAGGAGAAAGGCCAGGTTCCTTTTACAAAACTGTTCTTCTCAATTAATTTCCAGCCCTTTGTGCAAAATGAAAGCCAAACGGTCCCTATGTCTTTACTTAGCATTGGGGGGCGGGGAGTGGGGGGCGCTTCCCTTTGCCTAAGATAACCCCTTTTTCTCTGCATTTGAAAATAAATGTAAAGTTTACCTTGGAAACAAATGATTAATGAAGTGTTTTCTATGTAACCCAGCTGTTCACCATAATGGAAAAATAATTTGAGGTTTGGGGTACTGTGGCCATTCCTTGGCAATAGATTTTTTTGGAGGGGACCTGGGGGGTCAGGTGATTAAAGGGTTAATATTGAAATCAGAAATTTGCAAGGCCTGCATAATGGGAGCGCCACCCCTCATAACAATAGGAATTTTTAACAATATCCAGCCTTGTTAGCAAGAGAGTTACATGCATTGAGGGCAATCAGAGTCTCTTGTCAGTTTCTTTCTATCTACCATCTCCAACCGCCGAGGAGCCGAAATGAAGCACTTTGGAATTATCAATTTCAGCCACATTTGCATAACAAAGCCCCCGAGGAAGAGGCATGATAAATGTGAAGGACCCCTCTCGGAAAAGGAACTGTCAACCGGGCCCCGAAAGATTCTCCGACCCAGCGCGTTCTCCCGGACTGCAGTCAGCGAAAATAAAATGAAAGCATTAAAGAAAGTCATTCTCTCAGAGAGAAAAATCTCCCCCTCTGCACAGAGAGAACTGGATGAAATGACATTATGCATATGAAAATGTCCAGAAAGATGTTTGATTTATGTATGCATTAGATGCAAATTCCATTACGGGCCGAGCGCTGTTGTGTGATTTGACGCTGAACACATCAGCGCCCTGATCAGATCTGATCTCATTAATTCCGACAAGGAGAGAGAGAGGGAATTGAGAAGAATTTATGGCCTGGACACTTGAAAGAAGTAAATTGTAATTCTGTTTAAAGCTGTAGTGAACCTTTTAAACACCTTTTATTATACGAAAGAAGCACTCACTTTTATAACACTGTAAGGACTTACTTAATCTTGTACTGGGGGCTCCTGGTCTTCATGGGGGGGGGGGGAATCCATGACCTTGTTTAGGGGAAAGAAAAAGAAGAAGAAAATGTCTATCTTGGACCAAGTTGCAGAGAAAACATCACAATAATAGGATCAAAGGAGAAACGGTGCCCCCGAGAATAATTGAATAAACGTTTGCTTGCAAGGGTAATGTGTTTTGTTTTGTTTTGTTTTAGTGGCTTCATATTTTCAAATAAAATACCAAATAGTGAATGATTATATTTATGGGGCTGGGTAACAGATTTACATTTTTAGAATGTCTTTAATTGCATTACGGATACAAGTGCTACTCAAAATATTCGCAAGGCGATACAATGGAAAAAGTTGTCTTTTGAAACCTCCATGTACAGCTGCCTTGGAAGCTCAATCAATTTCAGACTAAAATTAATAACAATCATACTAATCACCCAACTGCCAAAACTGTTTTAAGAGGAAATATATTTTTATAGGGAAAATCGCAGATTGTTTCTTTCTATCAATAATGATTCTTATCTCTCTTTTGCTCCAGAACAAGACCTTAATAAGTCGTTTCCTCCTTTCAGGAGTGATAATCACCCTTCATGGGTGAGATGTCCTATATTTACTTGATAGCGTGTGTAAAGCCGAAAGTGTCTCAATATGTTACTGCATCGAGGAATCACCGGCCCTTCCCCCAGCATTCATGACCCCCCTGGGGTGCAGCTTTGCCTGGGAGAGTTATCTTCCCGAGCTATGATTAACTGCCTTCCCAGGGCCGGAGGTGGGGGCAGAGACTGGAATCTGGAAACCTTAGTTACCGATCATGTTTGATTTTCGATGGAAATGAAGATATCGAGGCGGCGTCCTCCCCCTGTGCAGCCCGGAGATTCCCGGGGTAATCCACTCCAACAGAAGTCGTCCTGGGTTTTAGCGAATGTTTATCCGCATTGTTGCCGCAAACCTACAAGTGAATGCAGATAAACAGAGACTCCGAGGGCAAAGGGTTTCAGAACCAGGTGCACCTGTTTAAATGTCACGTTTTGCCCCAGGTAATCCCCACGTCGTTCCCCATCTCCACCCCCACCATGAAAGTATCTCCCGTGCCCTGTAGATACAATTATAGATGGACTCACACCTTATTTACATTATGCCTGTGTCTCTAACCTCCAGTGCCGAGGGTTGTGGAGGACTGGGGAATGCGTGGTGTCTATTGGTTTGCCCGAATTTCAGCGTGTAACTCCAGCAAATCAGGAAAATAATTGGGTTTTCCTTTGAGCAGAGAGAGGGAGGGGAGAAGGAATTCTTCCTGTGATGTTTTAAAAATTCAAAATTTGCTCATTTATCTCCATGATAGGTCTAAGCACACAGTTGAAAGGTATATTTAGGCGGCAGAGGCTGTGCTGTAGGATGTGGAATTCCAAGTCCTCTCACTTAGAGGACTTGAAAGTATTGTGCTCGTTTTGAATGGGATTGACTGCAAGTACTGGGCTGGGGGAGGGCTCACCTTGGCATTATCCGAGTGAGATCTTCCCCCTAAGGCATTTTAACGTGTCTGGGGATGTGTGAAGGCAGGCAGTGCAATCCAGATCCAGTGTGTTCGTCTCCAATTAAATCGTTCCTCAAATATACACGGAAGGAAGTGTACATATTGCACTTCACAAATAATAAAGGGTGGGGGCAGCTCTTTCCTATCTTGCAGAGTGAGCCAGACTCTTATACCACACACACACACACACCACACACCACACACCACACACACACACACACACACACACACACACACGCACGCACGCGCGCGCAAGGCTCAGTGATTAAGCTTCATCTCTGCCCTGCCTAATGTGATTGAATCGGAACAATACCTTTGAACTCCTCAGCTATGATCTGCATACTAATTGATCCCGAGTCCTTGGCAATGACCTTAGCAGACACCCACCCATTCCCGCAGAAGCAGCCAGGCCCTGCTCAAAAGTTGCTATCGGAAACCAGCAACAACAAAAAGTCCCTGCCTGAAGAGCGAGCGTCTGCCAGCGATGTGCTACTCCCTAGCTCCCCCTGCGAGAGGCTTTCAGAAGTAAAAAGTGCTCGTCCAGGACGGGGAAGCCGAGTTAGCCAGGAAAGCTCAGGCTTCTGATCCATCACCTCAGGGGGAGGAAGACGGAATCCGCTTTTCAGAACTTACACTTGCACTTGTCACGTTTTACCCGAAAATAAAACCATTTGGTAATAGATTCCCTGGCAAGGTGTTTCCCAAAAAACTCCTCTTCGAGAGGACAGAAGCCTGCATGTAGATTTCATTCTTCTAAAAGTAGTGCACAGGGCCAGTCAGATCCTATCTTTATTTAAAATGTAAGTGTTATTTTGTTTATTGAGGATTTTTGTGCATAGATTTTTTTTTAACTTTATACATGCAGGCCGGCCTCAGTGACCTCCTGCTTTACTCAGCCCTTTCAGGCGCCCTTAGTTTAGGACCTTTTTATTACATTCTTAAGGAAGTCAGAGAAAAAGCCAGGGTGGTGGTGCACGCCTGCAGTCCCAGCACTCAGGAGGCTGAGGCAGGATGATTCCTGTGAGTTCAAGGTCACCCTGGCCACATAGCAAGACTCTGACTCAAGAAAAAAAAAAAAACACAGGAGAAAACTAAATGATTTCGCCCAAAATCTCCATACTTAGCTACAGACATGAGTGGACATGGAAACAAGTAGAAGACTCCCTGAGGACTCTTGCCTCTCTCCTTGGGAAGATGAAGCGCTGGCCCAGACAAACAGAAACACAAGTACCGTCTAGAAGACTGTAGCCATAGGAGGGTGGTGTGGTGACTTAACACAGAGCAGCGTGGTGAGGAGTCAAGAAGGCCCCAAGGCTAAACCCAAGTGCTGTGCTTGGTGTGGCCTCCAGCAGAAGAAACATCTTGGGGGGAAGGGGACGACTATCCAAGGAATTTATTACCAGTGGTGGTAGTAACAGAACTAAAGCCGTTGTACAAAATAAAAACACAAAACACTTTCTCAGAAATGAAATCATTACTTACAGTGGACTACAGGATTTTCTTGAAATTCGTCTTGGGATAAAGCAGGGCAGGGAGGCCTCCCACTTGGCTGGGAACAGTGAATATATATATATTCAATATATAAAATCATATATATATATATGATATGATGATATATATATATATGATTTATTTTTTGGTGCACTGGGAATTGAACCCAGGGCCTTTGCCCTGAGCTACATCCCCAGCCCTTTTTTCTTCTTTATTTTGTGACAGGTTCTTGCTAAATCATCACATTGCCCAAACTAGGCTTAACCTGAAGTCTTCCTGCCTCAGCCTCCCTGAGTGCTGGGATGACAGGTGTGTGCCACCACACCTGGCCAGAATATATCTTTTTGTTAGAACTAATCAACAAAACCCAAGGTCCTCCTGTTCCCTCAAGCCACCTTTACTGGGCAGCAAAAGGACAAAAGAGGGAGAGAGAAAGGCCCCCTGTTTTCCATTCTAGCCAAACAGCAGTCACCTGATACCCAGGTCTCCCTCTTCCGGCTCAGCACTGTCTCAGGTCAGGATGGGGTGGGATTACCACATTAAGGAGCATACGTGCCTCCGAGTTTTCCCATCTCAGTAAGTAGATGCTTTTCTAAGAACACGTTGTTCTAAAAAAGAAAGGAAGAAGAAAAAAAACTGTCTGTATTTTGTCATGAATTTCAATTACCAAAAAACTTTCGATTTTTTTTTCTTTTTGCAAAAAAAAAAAAAAATTGGCATACCTCCAGGTTTTAGGAATGTGGTTAATGCAGAGAATGACAGAAAGATAAAGATGTGTGTGTGTGTGCATGCATATGTGTGTACATGCTTGTGACTGTGAGTGTGTGTGTGTGTGAGTAAGAAAACTCAGAGCATACCGTTCCTGTGGGCCAGGCTGGATTTTAAGTCCTGAGTCATAGCTCCTGGTGCCACAGGGAGGGAAGAGCATTTTGTACACATGCAGCAATTGTTCTGGCAGGTTCCGCAGCATGTCCCAGAGCGACGTGTCAGAAGAGTGACTCGCAGCGTCCCTGAGTTGCACACACATATCAGGGAGCCAGTCTACACTCACAAACTCACTGCACATAGAGGCTTTTGGAGAGGAAATAATCATTTTGCAATTGGAAAGTACGAAGGGACTTTTTTTTCCTCCATTCAGACACACAGACTACTTCCCAAACGGGAGCAGAACTTTTTTGAAATGTGCAACTGTGTGAAACTTGTCTGGTTTCAGATTTACACAGAAATTTGGAACCATCTTGTTTTTATCCAAACAAACTCAAGCTGAAGAACTTCTTAACAAGCTGGGAGCATATTTGCAGGGAGAAACTGATGTTCCTAATTCATTAACTCACCAGCATTTGGTACCAGTTGACTCACTAAATATGCCCAGCCCGGTGACACGGTTTGGTTGTTCCATTTTGGAGAAGGCTGACTCTCAGCTGGCGCGGTCCTTAGTAGCAGGTAAAAGATTAAAAAGAAACATCGGTATGGCATCAGCTTGTGGTCTGTTCCCGGCACTCAAGGGAGGATGTTAGATTTCTAAGGTGCTCAATACACATAGCTGGAGTGGAAAGAAAGTTTGTCAAGTAAGAAAATAAATAGAATTAAAACACACTGAACTGAAACACTAGACAGTGTACAATAAAAATGTCCAATCCACTGGTTTGGATCACTCCAACGGGGGACCAGGAAGGTCTCGGGAAGCTGAACGGTAAAATGATCACGCTGAACAATGCAAACGTGGCTTCACACTGACGATCACAGCTGACCCCCTGCACAATCCGGAGTGGTGGCAGAGGGCATGAAAGCTGAAGTCCCTGTCCTCGAGGGCCTTCCGTTCCAGAGGTGGGGAGGGTGAGACCCTCGACATGCACCTGATGGGGATATGCAAGGGAGAGGGACGAGGAATCCTGCGGTGTGTATGCACGGGTAAGAAAGCCTCCTGTAGGGCTGGGGATTTAGCTCAGTGGTTCCGGTGCCTGCCTCACAAGCACAGGGTCCCAAGTTTGATCCCCAGTACAATAAAAAAAAAAAAAAAAAAGCCTCCTGCAGGAAAGGAGAGCTGTTAGTAAGGACAAAAAGAACAAGGGCACAAGCATGTCCCTCTTGGGAAGAGGAGATCCAAGTATCAGGAGGCCTGGGGGCAGAGCCAGGGGACATGGGACAAGGGAGCAGACTCGCCAGACACACAGGGTACAGATGGTGCAGGGACACAAAGGTATGCCGAGGAGTCTGGCTTTCACCCCACGGCGAAGCCAGGGCTGAGCTGTGAATGTAGAGCGACAGGCTGTGAGATACCCAGAGGCTCCGGCCCCATGGACAGGAGCGGGCTGGTCAGAGGGAGAGGGCCACCCCCCAAGGCCCAGGGAATTTTCTTAGTTTACAAAAAGAAGACAAATCAATAAAATGCAACACGGGAGGACAGAAGCCTGCCCGGTTCTCTCCGATTTTTCAGTATGTTTCTATGCAGTGCATTCACCTGTGTTGTGAGCTATGGTTGTGTTTTTTAAAAATACTTGGGTGGGCCAAGCTTGGTGGCACGTGCCTGTAATCCCTGTACTTGGGAGGCTGAAGCAGGGGGATCCCTGCAAGTCTGAGGCCAGCAGGAGTTACATAGTGACAAGGCCAGCCTGAACTACATAGCGAGACCCCATCTGAAAACAAAGAAATACTCGGATGAAGTGGAGAAGGGAGAAGAAGCGGAGTGGGGGTCCTCAGGGACACCATGAGCCTCTCTGTGAACACCTCATCTCTGTCCATCTGTGGGGTGCCAGGCCAGCTTCGCGGGGTCTCAACAGCCCTCGCTGCTCCCTGGAGCTGGGTCCCAGGTTGGCCCTAGTCCCTGGCCCAGCCTCCCGCCTCTCTTACACTGGAGCCTCGGTTTTCTGTTCTGTAAAATGGGAACACTAGTGCAGATCCTAGTGGGGACCTCCAGGGGGAACACCGAAAGGGAAAGCCCTTTGCCAAACCAAAATGCAATTATATCCATATGATTGTACCTCTATCTGTTTTTAAAAAGAGATAGAGGTAACAAAACTAAGGAAAATTTAAAAACAGCCTAAGTAATCGATGCTATTATATACATGCATACGTATGGACATATATTTATAATGCAATTTTAAAATAAACACTAGAAAAGCATAAAAATTAGTTTTATTACCCAGAGAAAATCAAAATTTACTTCTCACTGTACTTCCAGGTTTTGTTTATAATATTAATGTAAATATCTCCATAGCATCATTAGTAATGTATATGTATCTATATTATAACAGAGAAGTCCCATTGTAGCCACCCCTATAACAGAGCACAGCCATAGGTAAGACATGCTGTAGGTGTAACGGATGACATTGTGACATGCTATTTTGTACAGCCATAAAATATGCTCTTCTATATACCTATACATGCTGTCAAGATTTATGTCATTGAATACATTGGTATGGAATTATTGCCAAATTTTAATTTTTAAAGAGATTGCTAAATCACGTGTATTATTAAAAAACCCTCAGTCCCATAGGGAAGTCTCACTCACTTTTGCCATTTCCTGTCTGACAAACTGTAGCTCTTCCCACTGACACGCATTACAGACTGGGCACACTGCTCTGCATCTTTCTTCTTCCACTTAAAACGCATCCTGGAGATCACTTCCAGCAGAGACAAACATATAGATCTGCTCCTTGTTAATGGCTGCATGGCATAGCTTTCTGAGGATCTTGGGTATTTTGTTTAATCTGCAAGCCTCAGTGAGATTCTTTCCAGAACTGTCCCAAACCCAGCTGCAAAGGGTACGTTGTTTCCTACTTGTGAATTTGTGTTGGTACAAGAACACTAAATTCCTAAAGTTGAACTGCTAGGTTACAAAGTATAAATTATGTTAACTTTGATACATTTGGCCAATTTGTCCTGCAAAGAGTAAGGTGCTTCTTTATCACTCAGGCATATCGTGTAGGCAGTCTTTTACTCATTCTCCTTCCAACTTGAATTTGCGTTTTTCTATTTGGGAGGTTATTTTTAACAATCATTTATGTTTCCTCCCTGTGTGCACATGTGTGTGTGTGTGTGTGTGCGCGTGTGTGTGAATTGTTCACTTAATGGTCTTTTCCCCTGGATGATTTTTCCATATTAATGATTTACTGAAGCTCTTTATATGTTGAGGAAAGTAGTCTGAGATATATCACACATTTTGCAAGGTAAGAGTTTTATACTTATAAAGGTAAAATGTATTAACCTGCATTTTTATGGCATCTAGGTCCTGTGTTGTGCTCTAAAGGGCTTCGTGAAGCCCAGCCGTACTGGCAGAGAGAAGTCCTACTGAAGAGCAAGGAGAAGACAGCCTGGGGAGGATTCGGGGAGACGCCAGTCATGTTCCAGGGGGAGAGAAGGGGTCTTCAGCGGGCTGGAGTGGGAGCCAGGAGAGGGACAGAGATCTAGGGGAAGGAGAACCCTGAACAAGGCTTCGTGTGGTCCAGGCAGGAAGGGGCATCATCAGTGTGAGTGCGGGGTTGGTGGTGGCAGGGGGGAAGCATAGGAGCCCGGGGAGGCACCAGGGCAGCTGTGCAGGTGGCCAGAAGTGGACGGACTTGTGCCCGTGGTGGCCATGGGGTGAGGAACCCGAGGGACAAACCGGAAGGGCAGAGATCCAGTTTCAGGCAGCGGGCAAAGCTGGAGGGGACAGGTGGCAGGCATGGACTGGGAGCTCTGGGACTCGGCAACTGCAGGAGCTGCTGCACTGGTCTTCTTCAGCCACTTCCTCCTCTGTCAAATGAAAGAGTCACTGGCCAGGACACAGTGATGGTGAACACAGGGGTGAGGTCTAGGGCTGGCTGGGGCCCCCAAGCTGTGTCCCCATGTCACCCTCCCACGTCCGACACTCTGCACGCTGGTTGCCCTCCACAGCAAAACAGCACACAGAGCATTTCAGCTCCTCTGCTGGGCCCTGAGGCTGCAGGAGTGGGAAGGATAGAAAAGCACAGATCAGGTAACAAACCAAGCGTACAGGGAGAGTAAGATGAGCAGCCTGCAAGGGCGTGTGTGTCAAGTGCCAGGGAGGCCGGAAGGGGCCAGGCTTTCACTCTGCTTGGGGAAAAGTGAAAACACACAGGCATCTCAGCAGGGAAGTGAGAAAAGGCTCTGTCACCTTCAAAATCAAACCCACCCTGTCCTGTGTCACCTTTTGCAACCAATCATTTCTTTCAATGCTTTGACGGGCCCACGAATGGGGGGTCACTGTCCTGCTTATTACAGATAAGGAAACTGAGGCACGGGCAGACTCAGTGCTGTGTGTTGCTCCCTCAAGCTCCTTCCAGCCTCCATGCTGCCACCCAGGAAAACAATGTACTCAGAAAACAGCCTGGCAGAGGACAGGAGGCAACAATCCTGAAAGTGGTACCGACAAGGCCCTTCTGAAAACCCACAAAATACCACAAAAGCAAGTTTTTCTGCCAAATTGTAAAAGAGATTTAGACTCCTTTGGTTTCTCCTGGCCATGAAACCCGCTAGGTTCCTGTCCATCTCGGTGACTGTCCCCAGACAGGAGCCTCTATCACCAATGATTCGGCTCCTCCATGGTCTATAAAGTCACTCAAAGAAAAAGAAGGTACAATTAAGCAATAATGACCTGAGTGGCCATCTTCCAGGATGCATAATAGATGTTACAGCCTCAAGCCTTGACCCATAGCTGCCCGTGACAAGGAGGTAAAGGCAGACAAACAGATCATTAGGGCTGTGGGGAGCGGTAAGATTTAGATGACTCCCATTCATCACACCTGAGCCTTGCCTCTCCTGCCCATCCCATGATAGGAAGGTTTGCCATTGCCGTGGCTCTTATTCAAGACCCCTTAGCTCTGCAGTAAAGGCCACCTCTTCCCAGGCTCTCAATGGGAGTCGCTCCTGACCTATACACTGCAGTAGTAAATGTCCTCCACCAGTGCACATGGGGGTGGGTGTTTCCACGCCCCTGGGTGTGTGTAGCGATGTGTCTGCATGAGGTTGCATGTATTTGAAAGCTTGTGTTTGCATGCATTTGTGCAACGTGTATGTTTGTGTGGAGCTGCACATTTTTGTAGGGATGGGTATAGAAGGGAAGGGACCAAATTAAGAAGTAGAGAGAGAAGAGCTGAGAAATAAAGGAAAAGCTTGGTGTGAGGTCTTTGAGCCCCAGAGACCAAACCAGAATGCTCAGCCAGTTTTTCTGGTCACAATTCTGGAGGTTTCTTGTAGGCCCTGCCACTAAAGGAAGGGCTTGCGATTTCTTTGGAAGAAGAGAAAATATGAAGATGCAAAGAGGTTAAAGCACAAGGCTAAGGAGTTAGCAGCAAGTGCTCAGAGGACAGGGGGTGCTGGTGATGGTGACTGGGGTGCATCGAGATCTGCAGTCGGAAAAGTGGCTTTGGAGGGGGGGCCTGGCCACAGGAAAGCTCCTGGCTCCTGGAGTCAGTGATGGAGGAGCCAGAACACAACCTCAGGGCCAGAACAAGCTGGCAGTATTCATCAAGGGTCATAATTCCTCTCAACCAGAATTTATAAATTCTGTGTTGCTGTTTTTGTTAATGCTCAGCCTAATCC